GGTGATTAGGCGAGGAGAGCCTCAAAGGGCACCTTGTTGCTAGGTGTCCTTGACAACTATGGTTGGGGAATGGGCCCCATTGTGTAGCCCTTAAAGATATTGGTGTCCTTGACAACTACGAGGACTGCTGGATGGATTTTGGTGTATTGGAAGGCCAAAGAGTGACCACCAACATTAGGGAGTTTAATGAATTTATAAATTCTTGTGAGTTGAAGGAGCTGCTCTTTTGGAGCAATAATTTTACTTGGTCCAATTTCTCTAAGATTGGTAGGTTTTTATTTATAGTGGATTGTAAGGCACATCGGGGAGTGTTGGCTTTGAGGGCTTTACCTAGGATAACTTTTGATCATTGGCCTATCTCTTTTCCAATGATGAGTTAAGGGGAAGGTGGGCGGCCCCCTTTCGATTTGAGAATATGTAGCTCTGTCACCTAGGTTTCAGAGAAAAGGTTGAGTGGTGGACAAAGTAACCCTAGTAATCATTGGGAGGGTATGCAATTCCATGATAAGCTCAAAGAATTGAAAGCAAAAATTATATGGAATTTACAACATTTTGGGAGACCAGAAGAGAAAAAGCGAGATGCAATTGATTCCATTGAGCTCTTGGACAATAAAGAAGGTGAAGGAACTTTTGGAGAAAGAGATAAGCAGGAGAGACAGATGCTAAGAAAGGAATTGGAAGATATCCTGCTCAAAGAAGAAATAAGCTGGGGACATGAATCTAGGCAAATGACAAGAGGAGGAAAAACTTCATTTCTAAGTTATAAGTTGAAGGTGAGACTATTGATCAACACAATGAAATTGCTGGAGCTCTTGTGAACCATTTTAAGTTGAACCTTTGTATGCAAGAATTGGATTGGCCAAGGTTGTTTGAAGACCAAAAGATTTGGTTAGAAAGGAGCTTTGAATTGGATGAAATAAAGGAAGCAGTTTTTTCGATGGATAGACCTAAAGCACCAAGTCCGGATGGATTTACAATGGCCTTCAACCTGGTCAATAGCTTGTACAATTTTTATGTTTATATTGAATAACTGCTATAACTATGTTGCTATTAGGTATAGTGATGATTCTTATTTCATATCTTTTGAAAGATACATTCTCAGTACAAGGAAATTAGCAGCTATTGGTGGCTAACCTTGCCTTCGGAAGCTTCTTAATTTATGGCATGGTGCCCTTGGCCTCACTAAAACTGGCAATAGGGCTATAGGGAACTCAGAATGAAGGCCAATTATGTCCAGAAACTTTATGAATTTCCTAAATAAAGTGCATGTGTTGTGCCTGCAACTAAAATACTCACAAGAATATTTTTGTATTTTTTTCCAACATTCTTGCTGTTGTTATCAAAACCTGAATTGATCTCATGCAACACAATTCACTCAATAAAGTAATTGAGTTTTTATTAATTTGGGCTAGGCCCATTCTGGGTTTCATATAGATGATCCCCTTAGTTACATCTCTAGGAAAAAAGAGAACACCTTTTGATTCTAACATGAAATAAAACATACAAACAAACAACATTTCAGAATTCTTGTGTTGATTATTCTGGTTTAATCTCATTTTGGTATCTCGCAAAATTAGTAGAAATGAAGGGAACATAGATTAGGACTAATGACTACATAAATAATTGCAATTTTAGTTTAGACATGGCAATTAGCCCCCTTTTTTCAAGAGTCTGTTGGTTGGGCCTTAGATGAATGTTTTGGAAAATGGTCTTGGGATCAAGAGCCTTTGTGGGGTTGGGTGGTTTTGCCTATTCTTTTGGTATTTCTTGGGCTTTTGGATGTTTTGGGTGGATTGTTGAGGTCAAGGTTTAAAATGTTAATGTCGGTGGAAATGTCGCTTACCAAAATATAGGACATATGTCGGAAATGCCGAGGGGAAATATTGTAAAAATTAGAGACATTGTGGAAATATTATGAAATATGTGGAAATATGCAATGATATTTTGTAAAATGATAAAAGAAGCATTAATACATATTTC